AGGCTCCAGAGACAAAAAACCAAGCAGCTCACAAGCTGGTAGAGAATCACACAGACAAATGAAGGAAGTACAATGTAGCATGTGCTGGAATGAAACTGCACAAAGCAGGAATTTTATATTGATCACTGATGTATGCCAAGTACCTAGACTAGAGCTGGTTGCATGGCTGGTATCAATACTTAGTAATGTTTGATGAATGAATGAAATCAGGTGCAGAAGAGGAAGAGATCCAGACCAGGAGTAGGCCATTCTCTTATTTAAGCCTCAAAGGCAAATCATAATGAAAGATTTGTTACTGTTCTCACCCCACAGGAAACAGAGGCTCAGGAAGTGTAAGGGACATGCCCAACCTGCTACAGGTTATAAGGGCTGGAACCCAGCACATCACCAGCATGAAAATGCTGCATCACCAAAGCACAGTATCCAAACTTATTAGACCATAGCCAATGAAAGAGACCAGAGACTCTGTCTAAATTTGTTCCTCCCTGAAACCAAAATCCAGTTTGGGGAACATGCAAGGAAGTTCAGGAAATTCTTAACTGAAGCAAAAATATGGGCATTTGGACACATTTCAGAGTTGACCTGGGCTCCTGTCTAGAGTTAAGATCCTTAGCTTCTTCATGGTAAGCTTTACCTGTTGGGTAAAGCAGACCCAAACAGGCTGAGGGAATTAATTCATTTGAATATTAATTTATTAATGGAGATAGAAACATGAGTAAAACACAATTCCTAAAATCAAGATAATAGCCATCTAGGCAAGGAGATGAGACAGGTGCAAGTGATTTTAAGTTTCAATATGCTAAATAATATAACAAATAAATCACATTATGGGAAGACAGAAGAAGGAGAAGTAGCTTCTGGGTGACAATATAAAAACGTTTCAGGACTTCCCTGGAGGTCCAGTGGTTAAGAGTCAGCCTGCCAATGCAGAGACACAGATTCGGATGCCTGGTCCAGGAAGATCCCACATGCCTCGGGGCGACCAAGCCTGTGTGCCATAGCTACTGAAGCCTGTGCACCCTAGAGCCTGTGCTCCCCAACAAGAGAAACCACCATAATGAGACGCTCAAGCACTGAAACTTGAGAGTAGCCTTAGCTCGCCGCACCTAGAGAAAGTCTATGCACAGCAGCGAAGAGCCGGCACAGCCAAAAATAAATAGTTTTTTGATTTTTTTTAATTTCATGGAGGAGATAGTATTTGAACTTGAACTTAGAGAAAGTATAGGACTCTGATAGGTAAAGATAGGGAAGCACTTCAGCCAGAGGGATCGGCAGGAGCAAATACACAGAGGCAGACAACGTGAAGGCAGGGCCATGGACTGACGATTATCTTAGTTTGGAACACAGAAGGCATGATAGCGTGCAAATGAGGGAGATGGAAACGGGAGAGCCAGGGTACAGAGGCTGTGCATACATCTGCCCCAGTGAGATCAGGCTGAATTCCAAGAAACCAGGGGTCCTGAGAGAAACACACGTCTGTTTGTTTGTCTTGTAAGCACCGTGGAGACAGGGAAATGAGTTCAGAAGATATATAAAAGTGATGCCCAGCAAACAGCACCAGTGCCTGAATGAGGGAAACAGCAATCTGGAGTAAGAGGGAAGGACAACATGAGAAACTCTGCAGAAGCCCACACCATCTATCTTAGTGATGGATGGGGTGTCTGCCTGGGTGTGTGCTGGGGAAAAGTGTGGGACTAGCATTGGATTTTGTTTGTTTTTTTATTTATGTTTTATTGTTTTGTTTTGGGCTTTTTTGTTCTGGTTTCTCTCCTGTAGCATTTGTTTTTTGTTTTTTAATAGTTAGAAGTTCATCCTCATTCCGAAAGAAAAGTGATTTAAATCCAAACTTATTCTGATACTCATCGGCCAGGACAACATTCTGAGTAGGGGTGTCTGGTAGGCGTGGCCCTTCAACGTGCTCCTTCCTCAGCCCCATGCTCCTCCTCAGCTGTGCTCCTCCTCAGCTGTGCATCCAGTCCAACAGCGTCATCTTCCCTCTGTCTAAGCTGAGATAGGGACTCCGGCCAGCACAGGGTGGGGAGTTGCTCCCAAGCATTCATGAGGGCCGCTGACCACCAAAAGTGGCAGGACATTTGGTGAAGGACCCAGGTCTGCCGTGCCAGGCAATCTTCCAGAAACCATTTATTTGGCCTCTGATACTAACCAGAGGAGCCTGGCGGACTGCAGGCCATGGCGTCGCAAAAGAGTCAGACGCTAAACAACTAAGGACTCATTGCATTGTTTGTGTTCCTTTGTTTGGTGTCTTGCTTGTCAGAGTGATGTAGGAACTACAGAAATGCTCCTTCCAGTCTTGTCCAATGGGAAACCAGTAAGAAAACCAAAGTATATCTTTTCCTTTCTATAATGAAAAAAGTGAAAGTGAAATTCACTCAGTCACGTCCGACTCTTTGTGACCCCATGGACTATACAGTCCACGGAATTCTCCAGGCCAGAATACTGGAGTGGGTAGCTGTTCCCTTCTCCAGGGGATCTTCTCAACCCAGGGACCCAACCAGGTCTCCCGCATTGCAGGTGGATTCTTTACCAGTTGAACCACAAGGGAAACCCAGGAATACTGGAGTGGGTAGCCTGTCCCTTCTCTGGTGAAGCTTCCCGACCCAGGAATTGAACCGGGGTCTCCTACATTGCAGGGAGATTCTTTACCAACTAACCTACCAAGGAATCCCTCTTTTCTATAATAACTTTATCTTAAAAAATCATACTTTGGTAAGATGGAAACCACTTTGAGCAACATAATAAAAATATCTCAAGTATAATTTGCCTCTTTGCTCATTTTTCTCAAGTCCCTGTCTCTTCTTATGAGCTTGGCATCTTAATAGTCACTTGGTTTTTCCTCTAGAATTACTGATGATCCTTTCTCCACAATCAACCCTCCTCTTCCTCACTTGATGAAAACATAGGAGAAAAGAAAAAACAAAATAAGATTTTTAGACCGTGTGTCTTGAACATCTTTACAGCCACGTTACCTTTCAAGTGAAATTTGTTTGTCTTGTAAGCACCGTGGAGACAGGGAAATGAGTTCAGAAGATATATAAAAGTGATGCCCAGCAAACAGCACCAGTGCCTGAATGAGGGAAACAGCAATCTGGAGTAAGAGGGAAGGACAACATGAGAAACTCTGCAGAAGCCCACACCATCTATCTTAGTGATGGATGGGGTGTCTGCCTGGGTGTGTGCTGGGGAAAAGTGTGGGACTAGCATTGGATTTTGTTTGTTTTTTTATTTATGTTTTATTGTTTTGTTTTGGGCTTTTTTGTTCTGGTTTCTCTCCTGTAGCATTTGTTTTTTGTTTTTTAATACTTAGAAGTTCATCCTCATTCCGAAAGAAAAGTGATTTAAATCCAAACTTATTCTGATACTCATCGGCCAGGACAACATTCTGAGTAGGGGTGTCTGGTAGGCGTGGCCCTTCAACGTGCTCCTTCCTCAGCCCCATGCTCCTCCTCAGCTGTGCTCCTCCTCAGCTGTGCATCCAGTCCAACAGCGTCATCTTCCCTCTGTCTAAGCTGAGATAGGGACTCCGGCCAGCACAGGGTGGGGAGTTGCTCCCAAGCATTCATGAGGGCCGCTGACCACCAAAAGTGGCAGGACATTTGGTGAAGGACCCAGGTCTGCCGTGCCAGGCAATCTTCCAGAAACCATTTATTTGGCCTCTGATACTAACCAGAGGAGCCTGGCGGACTGCAGGCCATGGCGTCGCAAAAGAGTCAGACGCTAAACAACTAAGGACTCATTGCATTGTTTGTGTTCCTTTGTTTGGTGTCTTGCTTGTCAGAGTGATGTAGGAACTACAGAAATGCTCCTTCCAGTCTTGTCCAATGGGAAACCAGTAAGAAAACCAAAGTATATCTTTTCCTTTCTATAATGAAAAAAGTGAAAGTGAAATTCACTCAGTCACGTCCGACTCTTTGTGACCCCATGGACTATACAGTCCACGGAATTCTCCAGGCCAGAATACTGGAGTAGGTAGCTGTTCCCTTCTCCAGGGGATCTTCTCAACCCAGGGACCCAACCAGGTCTCCCGCATTGCAGGTGGATTCTTTACCAGTTGAACCACAAGGGAAACCCAGGAATACTGGAGTGGGTAGCCTGTCCCTTCTCTGGTGAAGCTTCCCGACCCAGGAATTGAACCGGGGTCTCCTACATTGCAGGGAGATTCTTTACCAACTAACCTACCAAGGAATCCCTCTTTTCTATAATAACTTTATCTTAAAAAATCATACTTTGATAAGATGGAAACCACTTTGAGCAACATAATAAAAATATCTCAAGTATAATTTGCCTCTTTGCTCATTTTTCTCAAGTCCCTGTCTCTGCTTATGAGCTTGGCATCTTAATAGTCACTTGGTTTTTCCTCTAGAATTACTGATGATCCTTTCTCCACAATCAACCCTCCTCTTCCTCACTTGATGAAAACATAGGAGAAAAGAAAAAACAAAATAAGATTTTTAGACCGTGTGTCTTGAACATCTTTACAGCCACGTTACCTTTCAAGTGAAATGACTTCTAGCATAAATAGCTTGCTGTATGTGTGTGTGTGTATATATATATACTATATGTGTGTGTGTGTATATATATATATATACACACACACACACATACATACACTGCATGGTAATATCTGAGAAAATTAACTATGTATGATATGAGTGTGTGCCAGAGTCACATAAGTTTAGAACTGGAGAACTTCCATAAAGATAAAACATGTGTGTATTGAAAATGCGAATTCCCTCCCCAAACCAACTTAAAGGACAGATTTGAGACTCATCCCACCTCGCTTTGGTTTCTACTTGCTTCAACTTTGATAGAACTGCAAATGTGTTTGTCTAATCTCATAAAGAACTGGAACGTAGACTTGCAAAAATTGGCTAAAAGCCAAGATTCATTTTTTACAAAATTTTTAAAATAACAACAAAAAAGAGAAAACCCCAGATGGTAAAAACTAGTACTCTAAAAGCTTGTTTTTTGTGTCTTCACAGAATTCTCCCAAACTCTTTTGCCCTAAAAACAGAAGCTTTGACATAGACGCCATCTACAGTGTGATAGATGATGCCAAGCAGTACGTGTACATCGCTGTCATGGACTACCTGCCTATCTCCAGCACAAGCACCAAAAGGTCAGTGCGTGTGTGCTTAGAACCTGGGCTCCAGGGTGAGGCGCGATGCTGAGAACCACAGGAAAACACACCCTGGACACTGGGATGCTATCAAGTCACAGAAGGTTGCACATTCACATCTTCTCAGGGTGTACTTGCAGCTCACCCAGAATGCATCTCCTCCCTCAGTCCATTTTAAGGACTCAGGGTCTCATCCCATAAATTACTACCTCAGTAATTTACATTATAAGCATGACAGCAACTTTAGATTGAAGATTGGGTTGTGATTTGAAAATTGTTTGGAAAAGTAAATTAAAAATTATTAGAAAAAAGTTTTTTAAGTTATCAGTTGACATGTGCCTGAAGGGCATACCGAAACTAAGTAGGTCTGCCAAGATTTTCTTTAAAAGAGGCATCCCTTTGTTGTACTCTTGTTGGTCTTCCTTAAATGCTAAATTTTCATACTATCTTTTTGACTTACGGGAGAAGCAAACTTAAAATATGTATGTTCTCAGCAATCCATCCATCTGTAAAAGGAACATAGCATTTTAAAATTTAGAGTATTTTTAATATTCATCACTGTGCAAGTGTGGAAATACTTGGAATAAACAGGAGCAGGATTTATGCCCCTAAATCATTGCATGCATAAATGCATGCCTCGGACCCAAGTATTGCCCACTTTTGCTTTCTTGCTGGGAATGCAGAGTTTGGGTGCTTGTAAATGTTTTGAATAATCCAGTTAACCCAGGAAAAATTTCCAAAGTGCACATTTCTAGGAGTACAACCTGACACCTTTTAAATTTGGAAAATTACAATTTCAAATTAACTATTTTGCTGAGGTTAAGTAATTTCATGTGCCCTATATTGCTTGAATATTGTTCATATTGCCAACCTCACATATGCATAATATACAACTTCTTTATGCAAACGACTTTAAAATTACAAAAGATGTGTTTCTCCCAGGAAGTGATTACCCCTAATGATGATCAAAAAGTATTTTAGGCTGCAAGATACACATTATTAAGATACTTTAAATATTGTGCACCCTTTGAACATTCATGGATTTTTTTTCCACATACTTTCATTTTTTTAATCCCTCCTTTTCATGTTTTGCCCATTTATTGTTTATTTGATTTTAGATTTGTTTTAGACTTCAGCTTCTCTTTGGGAAGAATTTGAAACAATACATTTTGCCTGGTCTTCCAATTATTCCAAAGGAGAGTAAGGTTAAGTTTATGACTTATTCAGTTGGGATAATAATTTCATAGGATCGACATAACCTTCATTTCATGAAGTTCCTTCAAACAAACAAAATTAAGATCCTTCATAGCCAAGGGAGAAGGCATTAGCATGGATAATCTAAAATATCTTGGAAATATAATGAGGAAAGAGATTGGGCACCAGCCACAGAGCAATGCAGAGTCAGAGCAGGTGTCTCTCAATTGGAAAGATTTGCATCTTTTTTGCAAATGAAGAAGGCAGAGAACGAAAAAAGTGAAAGTCAAGCGTCCCTTTCTTTGAGACTCCATAGACAGAGTTGCTTGAATTTTCCAGGCAAGAATACTGGAGTGGGTTGCCATTCCCTCTCAAGGGGATCTTCCCTATCCAGGGATCGAACCTAAGTCTCCTACATTGCAGGCAGAATCTTTACCATCTGACCCACCAGGGAAGGCTCCAGGGAGAAGCTGAAGCTATTCTCAGGAAGGAATGATGAATCAAATGCAGCTGCAGAGGGTCAAGAGAACAGCTGAGGGAGAAGGGGGAGGATGCCTTATCCTCTGAATTAGAGGGAAGGAGATAAGGATGTGTTGCCATCAGGGTAGAAAGTTGAGGAGAACCATGGTTGAGACCCCCAATTTTGTGAATGAAGGAAAGAACAAGTTTCTGTAGGGTGGGGTAACAGAATAATTACAAAAGATACAGGAGGTAGAATTAACCCAATACAAGGATAGAGGTTGACAGATGGTATTGAGAACCCTGAAGGTTGAGATGACTTTTTCCAGTAATCCTTAGCTTTATGACTATAGAAATACACCAAAGGAATAACGGCACTGATCCAGGATTTAGATTCTGCAAAGAGACAAAGGAAGGGAGAGGGGCAACTATCCTCCAGGTGATCAGAACTGAAACTAGGCTTGTCAGAGAAAGGAGACCAGGAGGAGCTGATGCATCAGGAAAAAGTAGAGGGATCTCGGATCTGGGGCCCACACAGGTGAAAAGTGAACATGTTAGTTTCTCAGTCATGTCTGACTCTTTGTGACCCCATGGACTGTAGCCCACAAGGCTTTTCTGTCCATGGGATTTCCCAAGCAAGAATACTGGAGTGCGTTGCCATTTCCTTTTTCCAGGGGCTCTTCCTGACCCAGGGATTGAACCCAGGTCTCCTGCATTGCAGGCAGATTCTTATGATCTCAGCCACCAGAGACGCCCACACAGGTAAAAGGGCAGGGACAAATAAAAGAGTGAAAGAACTTGAAGGACAGGAGGCTGGGGTCAGATATAAAGAGGAGACCTTTGGAGGTAAAATTATTAGGCAACTCACAGGCTAAGGTTTTCAATAATATATTATTAGTCCAAATAATGGATTGGCCTAGAATTAGGCAAAGATTTGTATGAATAAACAGAAGGTCTACAAATTACAGAATTAAAGAGAGAGCAATTTGAGATTTGTCTTTAACATGGGAAAGCTTATTGTTTTTGATTTTTAACATGAGAACTACGTTACAGTTCTGAAAGAAACACGGTGTGTGCTGGGGGGAGCAGTGGCTGGCTCCTAAATCAAGTGGACAGGTTGTGGTGGGCAATACACAGTAGGACTTTAGGAGAAACTGTGGCCTAGGAAAGATTTAGTTGAAGTAAAAAGTTAAGAATTCAGGGAAAAGGCTAAACCTATAGGGGAAACTGTTTGCCTAATGAAGTCTTCCAAGGTCCCAGAGTAGTGGAGGGGCTTGGCAACGAGAGATGAAGACAGTTTGGAAATAAGAGTGTGGGAAGCTTGGACAACCAGAGCAAGATCTCATTTGGGGCGGGGGGGGCACTTATCAAAGAAGAGAGGTTTAAGAAGCATGTGGTAGTGGTCAGTATGTCTGTGCCCTCAACCCACCCAACCTGAGGCCCTGATAGGAAACCTCATTTTAGGTAGGATTGTACCTGCCTAAAGCACCATTTTTCAATGTTCTAAGCCAGGAGGCCAGCATTTTATCAACATATCCTACAAGGTTATTTATATTATAGATTAGAAGCTGATCTAATCTATAATATAAGTGATCAAGTAATGATCCAGTTAATGTCAATGCTCTCTGTAGTGTAGTAAATTTCTTTCCCGAAAGTAACTGATTTTTTTTATCTGTACGGATATTATTTCTACAGTACTTATATTATAGATTAGAGGCTGATCTAATCTATAATATAAATGATCACATAGTGATCAAGTTAATATCAATGTTCTCTGTAGTCTAATAAATTTCTTTCTCCAAATTAATTTTCTTTTATTTTATCTTTATGGATATTATTTCTACAGGACTTATAAATTAGAGGCTGATTTAATCTATAATATAAATGATCACATAATGATCAAGTTAATGTCAGTTTTCTCTGCAGTCTAGTAATTTTTCCCCCCAAACTGACTAATTTTATTTTATCTGTATGGATATTATTGCTACAGGACTTACTGGCCAGACTTGGATGGGAAAATCAGAGAAGCATTAGTTTTGCGGAGCGTCAAAGTTCGACTCCTTATAAGCTTTTGGAAGGAAACTGACCCCCTCACATTTAACTTTATTTCATCTCTTAAAGCTATTTGCACTGAAATAGCCAACTGCAGTTTGAAAGTTGTAAGTATTGTATTGACTGAACTATTAAAATCTTATTTCCTTCATACATCTGTGAAAGCTATAAGCAGACAAATACACATACGCTTCCAATCGGAACTAGGACAATAATCTTTGAGAGTGAAAAATACCTCAAAAAGTAGGTTGAGTAGTTTTTCAAGATAATCATATCTTGCCCCAAAAAAGGAGACTAGATCCCAAGTTTCCTGGTACCAGCCTAGCCCTCTTTATCCACGCTTTCAGTTGCATCCTCTCCATTTTGCTTGAATTTCCTCCTTCATCTACTATTCTTATTTGTAAGACAGTGAGCAGCAGAGCCTTGGAACATGCACCAGCACAGACTCCCCCAGCCTGGGATCCTGTCCTTGTTCCAGGTCCCTCGGGCCACATGCTGACCCATCTCTGCATCCTGTGAAGGAGGCAGGGTTGAGGATTCATACAACTCTAAATGTGCTAGCTCGCTAGCTTATCTTTAACTCTCCTCTGGTCCACACATGTAGCATCCGCATCCTCCCCTCAGGGCCCTTGTACATGCTCTTTCCTCTCCTACAACACTCTTCTCCATGCTTTACCTGATTGATGCCCGCTAATCCTTTAGATCTCAGCTTTCCCCAACCTCCACTGCAGACATTCAACAAATGTATACTGAGACCTCTTCTAAGTGATGAAGTTTTGCACCATGCATGAAGCATTCAGGGACCCAGATGACACAGGTCCACTGTCAACTTCGATACATGGCTCCCAAGATTTCCTTGAGCCTCAATACCCCAAGGCCAGTCAGAGGAAGAGAATTATTGGAGGAGTGCACAGGAGGCCCTTAAAGGGAAAGTCGCTCAGTCTGACTCTTTGTGACCCCATGGACTATAGAGTCCATGGAATTCTCCAGGCCAGAATACTGGAGTGGGTAGCCTTTCCCTTCTCCAGAGGATCTTCCCAACCCAAGGATTGAACCCAGGTCTCCCACAGTGCAGGCAGATTCTTTACCAGCTGAGCCACAAGGGGAGCCCTATAAATTAGATCTGCTGCTGCTAAGTCATGTCAGTCGTGTCCGACTCTGTGAGACCCCATAGACAGCAGCCCACCAGGCTCCACCGTTCCTGGGATTCTCCAGGTAAGAACACTGGAGTGGGTTGCCATTTCCTTCTCCAGTGCATGAAAAGTGAAAAGTGAAAGTGAAGTCTCTAGTCGTGTCTGACTCTTCGCGAACCCATGGACTGTAGCCTACCAGGCTCCTCTGTCCATGGGATTTCCCAGGAAAGAGTACTGGAGTGGGGAGCCATTGCCTTCTCCCATGAATTAGGCCTAGAGGAGGTGAAATCCCTTTAACCTTCATTCTCTGAAGGACAAACCGTCTCCATGCTCAGCAAGTCCCCAGATGTCAAAGCATCAGAATATAGAAAATAAGACAAAGCTAATACAAGCAGAGGCAGAGGAGAGTACCTGGGGCCTATGGCACATGATGCATTTGCTCCTATGTCTTCTCTCTACTTTCCCTCAGAACAACTCAGTTGTCTCCACCAACCCCCTTTCCTGGCCCACAGCACACCTGCCACTGAAGCCCTGTCAGTTGAAATCTCTGGCATGAAATGTTAAGGGTTCTTATTTAAGATTTACAAGAAATTGCAGGGAAAGTAGAATCCATCATCTTTAACCTCTACGGTATTGACTCAGCTTCATCTTTTTGAATACATATGACCACATTACTTGAATAAAGCAAACATTAATAGTTCCCTGCTGGACATTTTATAAAACAGAGACTTCAATCTCTGTATAAGCCAGGCCATGTATGTCTAAGCATCAAGATAAGCCTAAATGAGAAAGAATCTTATGGCCCCAATGCCAAGACCACAGATGGATGAAGAGCTTTTCTAAGAAAAGTGAAAGTTGGGATCTTGCACATAGCATGTCTTCAGGAGGCACTGATAAAGCAGATAGCCTGGTAATCCTCATCCTGAGTATGTATGTACCCTCAGCCCTGGCTTTGCTAGTTTGTATCCATGAGGTGGCTCATGGAAAGAGATAGCACTCACCAAGCTTTCCTAGTTAAATGAGGGTTTTTTAAATAAATTAACAAGCTGCTTTTTAAATGTCTTTGCTGTCACCTACAGTATGTTGGATGTCTAAAAATATGTCAGTGAATACAATATGATCTCTGATGTCGTCTTAGTCCCCCAGATAGATCTGTTTTCCCTCTTTTGGGTCATCGTCAACTCTCTGGAGGAAATGGGCTCTCAGTCAAGTCTCAAGCTGTGATGCCATCACTGACTTAAATTAGGACGCATAATTTATTCTTTCTCAAATTTGTCTCAATTCTATAGTAATATCTTCCTCAGAAGGAAAGAGCCCATTGTACAGACAGGTATTGTGATAGAATATCCAAGCAGAATGACTGCTGGCTGTTAATCAGTTTCGTGTGACCACTCAAGTGTAAAACCATGACATAAGAGCATTCACAGGCTATTAAGTCCATCTGAAGAGTCCACAAAGGCTATATGTGAACCCATCAAACCTGACACAGATTTTGCAGAAGATAGGAACTGAGGAAATAAGGTGATCCAGGCTACATTGCCTGTAATCATGGTAACATGGTAGTAGCAGAACCTTCCTCTGGAATGTGCAGTAGGAAATTCTTAGGTGGTAGATTTAGGCCTGTGTACCATTGATCTCAAAGGTTCTACCAAAAAAAAAAAAAATAGATTAGAATTTTCAGGGCTGGAAGGTACCTTAGAGATCACTTAGTTTATCACTCCTTTCTCAACCTGTGTGCATGTGTGCATGCTCAGTCATGTCCAACTCTTTGTGACCCCCATGGATTGTGGCCCACCAGGGTCCTCTGTCCATGGGATTTTCCATGCAAGAAATGGGAAAAACCAACTCTCATTATCTCTCCAAACCAAATTTAAACACTTACAGTTTTGAAACTATAATGATATCTCCATTTTTAGGTATCATCTCATTTTTCCTCTCTGCCTCTTCTCTCCTTCAAATACACATGATTCTACAAGTGTAAGACATTCTGGAAAGATTCCATGCAGTTTTGAAAATGTTCAACGTTTTTCAATATGGAGGAGACCTGAGGTCCTAACGTTAATGTGTCTTCTGTGAACTCAGTCACAGTTTAAGCCTCATCTGAGCACTTGCCCATTTTAGCAGATTCCTGAAGCCACTCCTGATGTCATTCACCTCTCTTAGCACCCCCATCCCCATTCCAGCTGAACTAGAGTGCTGCTTTTGGATAACACTAGAATTGAAATTCAGGACTCATGGTTTGCAGTTGTGATTTTTTTTTTTTTTTGAGTTGCTTATTAAAAGAGCTTGTAGACATAGGTGTTTAGATGGAAACTATTTGTTCTTTTTTAGCAAAACCTTTTTTTGACCTTTGGAAATCCCCAGTCAATTCAGCTAGTCATTGACATGGGCCTGCTGCTTCTTATAATATATGCAGCATGTAGGAAATCAGTTCATTGGCATGCTTGACAGAAAGTACCCTGAGGCATAGTTAAAATGCCAGTGCACCCTGATGAATAAGATGATAAGAATTAAACAACTTCTGGCCTTCATCCTGTTAAAAGAATGAATTTTATGTTCATTTTATAGCTTAAAAGTGTTAATTATAGACCTGAATGAGCATGTTCACTTTTTCTCTTGTTGCCTATATGGATTTGAGACCAAAAATAGCTTCAGCTATATGAAGTAACAAGATTGCAGTTTTAATAACTCAATATGAGGTCTATTGCTGTTCCTTGGATAAGAAACCCTTTTAGTGTTTGAACAAAACCAAAAATGTTCTCTATATTCACCTGGTTTATTTATTTATTTATTGTCTTACAGAAATTCTTTGATCTGGAAAGAGAGAATGCTTGCATTACAAAAGAACAAAGGAATCACACCTTTCCTAGATTAAACCGCAACAAGTATATGGTGACGGATGGCGCAGCTTATATTGGTAGGTGTCAGGGCTGTGAGGTTCCTCAGCGGATCATGCAGGTTAGTGGTAACCCAGCTGCACTCTGCTGTACCCCATGGCGAGGAAGCCCCTGCCAGTGAATGGGGGTCCCCAAGGTCAGGAAACAGGAGAGGGAGGGCAAAGAGCTCTTCAACCAAACATCTTATCTATGGCTTGGTTCATAGACCAGGACACCATACAGGATGTCTTCTCATAAGTGTTTTGCAGAAATTCCATGGTCCACTTGTCTTATTTTGTGCTTCGTCACTCAGCTGTGTCCAACTCATCATGACTCCATGGACTGTAGTCCACCAGGCTCCTCTGTCCATGGGATTCTCCAGGCAAGAATACTGAAGTGGGTTGCCATGCCCTTCTCCAGGGGATCTTTCCCGCCCAGAGAATGAACTGGGGTCTCCTGTATTGCAGGCAGATTCTTTACCAGCTGAACTACCAGGGAAGCCCTATAGGCGGGAAATTGGATGGTTCATCAAAGGCCAGTCCTGGCACTAGAATGAACCCAGAGCTCATTTCCTACCCACCGTACCACAGCCAATCTGTCATGAGTAATGGGGAAGCAGACCATTGAAATTTGATGTCCAAATGAACACTGTCTGTGCAATAATCCTACACCTGCCATTTTTTAAATAGCTAACTTTGGACAATTTACTTAAGCTCTCTAAAACCTCAGTTCTCTCATCTGTAAAAGGGAGTTGACTAGTTTCTGCCTCGTAGGATGATGTTTAATTAGGATAATATGTACAAAACACCTTGCACAATTAAAGCACCCAACACATAGATGATACCTGATTCATGTTAGCTATTATTATAAGGTAATAAATCTCCAGACACAGAAACAATATGTTATTGGTTTATTATTTACTAAGGGATCAAATCTATTCTACTTTTGCATGGCGTGTATGGGTCCAGGGTAACCTCTTTACTCTTTCTGTCCCAAGCAGGGTAGAAGTTATTATTTATAAAATGAAGGGGCATAGATTACAAAATAGCTGGATGGTTGTTACAATGTGCAAATGAAGTAGAAGAGTCAAAGCAGAAAAGAAAAGCATGGGTGTGGAATGAAGGAATATGAAATTTGCATTATTTTTTCCAAATTCAGTGAGTAATTAGAAAATATGCCCTTTTCACTTTGTAAAGCAGCTTACTTTATTTGATTCTCTTAGCAACATTGTCAATAGGGAAGGCAGCTTTAATCACCTACAGTTTAGAAATAAGGAAATTGGGCCATAAAATATGAAATGAATTAAACATGCAGATGTAAGGGGGAGGATTTTGGAGCTGAGTTTCAAATGCCGGGCATCCAGAGCCCTCACCCCCTGTAGCGCTTCAGAAGTCACTGTCGTCGGCCCGTGGAGACACTACCTCCTGTGTCAGTGTAGAGATGATCTGTCTTTTCCCATTTTGAATAGTTGTGTGTCTTATTAGTAGAATAGAGTATTGAAATTTTAAAAAATGTCTATCATTCCAGTTCTAGAATGTAAGAGCATTGTTTTATTCATATTGTCCCTCTCAGTGACACAAGGTGTGATAATTTAGATTTTCTCATGTTCATCAGTGCATGGAGGATACCATGAAATGAGCTTCTTTTTAAACAAGTGACAAAAGCAGACTCAAATATGTTTAGTCCAAAGTGGGAACCTCTGGTTCAATATTGGGAAACAGGAAACACAGGGATGGATTAAGTTTCGGGCACAGTGGGATATAAGAACTCAAATCTGAATATTTTACCTGCAGAGTTTACTTAAAGTAAATTGTTGTATGCACACTCAGCAGTGACATGTGCTTATATCCAAATACTCTTTATAATGAATTAAGTAAGTGTGTTGGAGTCAGACAAATCTCTGATTTCAAGCCCTGACACAAGACAGAAGATTTGATAGAGTCACACAATCTGAGTCTCTGCAAAGCCTCTGTTTCCTTATCTTTAAATAAGGGGGATGATAACACCCACCCTTTGGTGGTGGTATGTGGATTGAATGAGATAATATATGAAAAGCTCCCAACACTGTCACTGCTCTGTCTACCAGATTCTTAACAAAGACTGATTCTTGACTCTCTCCCTTGTTTCCCTGTAATGCATTTTTAAAATAGACTTTGGTTTTTGTTTAAGTTTTAGGTTCACACCAAAATTGTGCAGAAAGCACAGAGATTTCCTATATACCTGCCATCCCTACATGTGCAGTGTCCCCCGTTGCCAACATCCCTCACCAGAGTGGTGCATTTGTCACAACTGATGAACTTACATTGACACATCATTATCACCCAGTGTTCATCATTTACATTAGGGTTCTCTCTTTGTGTTGTACATTCTGTGGGTTTCAACAAATTATAAAGACATGTATCTGCCATTATAGTATTATATAGAGTAGTTTCACTGTAATCCTACGTGCTCCACCTATTCATTTCTACCCCATCCTGGCAACCACTGATTTTTTTTAACTATCTTCATAGTGTTGTCTTTTTCAAAATATATAGTTGCAATCATGTAGTGTGTCACCTTTTACGATTGGCTTCTTTCACTTAGTGATATGCATTTAAGGTGCTTCCATGTCATTTCATGGCTTGATAACTCATTTTTTTTTTTACTCCTGGATAATATTCCATCGTATGTTACCTTCTCTGGAGGAGGGCATGGCAACCCACTCTAGTATTCTTGCCTGGAAAATCCCATGGACAGAGGAGACTGGTGGGCTATAGTCCAGAGGGTCGCAAAGAGTCGGAACATGACTGAGCGATAAACACACGTTACCTTCTAGGAGTTTTATAATTGTCCATTTTACATTTAGGTATGATCACATTTTTAGTTACATTTTGTGAAGGGTATAAGATCTGTGTCTAGATGTTTTCTTTACATGTGGCTGCTTCTAACATCATTTGTTGCAAACGCTGTTTTTGCTCTATTGTATTGCCTTTGCTCCTTCATCATGATCGGTTGACTCTATTTATGTGGGTGTATTTTGGGATTCTTTATTATAATACATTTTTAAATGAGTACATTTTACACATAGCATCTTCAATTCAGTACAGTTTAGTTCAGTCGCTTAGTCGTGTCCGACTCTTTGTGACCCCGTGAACTGCAGCACGCCAGGCCTCCCTGTCCATCACCAACCCCCAGAGTTTACCCAAACTCATGTCCATTGAGTTGGTGATGCCATCCAGCCATCTCATCCTCTGTCGTCCCCTTCTCCTCCTGCCCTCAATCTTTCCCAGCATCAGGGTCTTTTCAAATGAGTCAGCTCTTCGCAACAGGTGGCCAAAGTATTGGAGTTTCAGCTTCAACATCAGTCCTACCAATGAACACCCAGGACTGATCTCCTGCAGGATGGACTGGTTGGATCTCATTGCAGTCCAAGGGAATCTCAAGAGTCTTCTCCAACACCACATAGCATCTTAGCAAAACTTTAATTCCCTAGAATGAAGCATAGTTCTAATGTAACAATATTTGAAGAGCATAAAGAGGGGAAATTACTTAATAATTTAAATAATTATCAGCATATTCTGAAAATCTCTTAGAAGTCACTCAGATACCTGCTGAGAATGCTGAATAAAGAAAAATCCACACAAGACCTTGTATGGAATTATAGTTCCATTAAATGCTCTGAAGACTTACAGAAGACTCCCCAGACAGTATCATGTCTCTACTTTAAATTCTCCAGAGTATATCTGAGTCAAGCTTGGCAAAGTTGTTTGAAAGATGGTTTGATTATTTACATATTATATCCTGTGAGTTCATTTGCACCCTCACAGGGTATTCCTGAGGGTAGTTCCCCAACTCTCTTGGCATTTGGGGCCTCAATATGCATTCTAGAAGCTGAAATGTCAGTCTCAAAAAGAGCTGGGTAAAACTGCTTCCAAACTGAAAAATTACTGAAGCATGTATGTGATTTTGAGGTTTAACCCAGCCATTAGGAAATGAAAGGTAGGAAAACAGTCACCTAGTGTAGGAATGCCCTGTAGACCTTTAGGGCTGTGATTCCTGAAAACAGACTAATTAAAACTTTTGAGAATCAATAAAGATGCAGAATCTTGGCCCCATCCTTTGTATTAAAGGGAAAAAGCTGAATTTTGCAGAATAAGACTTCAAAGTCTTGTCACTTCTCTCCCATCATCTTTGCCCCCAAAGCATATGCATGTTTTCTTTCAGCCAGTGAGATATGCAAATGAATGGAGCAGAGATCTCAGTGTGGCCTGATGCACCAACCCTGGGAGCTAATGAAGTCTAGGGTGAACAGCACAGTTAGCAAAAAGCAAGTACGCCTTTCAAATCAGAGGTGACGTGAAACGGAAGTTAAGTGTGGGCTGTGGAGTCAGACCTGGCTTTTGAACATCAACTGTGGAATTTTTTCACTTCTACCTTGGACAGATTACTAAACTTTTCTGTGCCTTAATTTACTCATCAATACAGTGAAGTTAATATTGTCACCTCACAGGACTGCAGTGAATATCAAATGAGATAATGTTATGAGATAACAAATTACTCCCCTTGGTCTAATGCCTGGCACTTAAGTCATAAGATGAGATTTTAGTGTCTTCTCAAGAAGTCCTTGAAAAGTGTGCAGGAATGCTAGAGTCTCGTTTATAGAATGACTAGAAGGTGCCATCTACCAACAGGTTCCAGAATAACTCTCAGCCTAGAGTAGCTACTGATCCTCTGCTTAGAGGTTGAGGCCTATGTTCACCTGGCCCTGAGCATTTGCACAAAATTTATGCCCCTGAGCATGGTCTGAGAGCACATGGTCCAAAACATATCAACAGCAAAAGAAGTCTCTGTGTAGACTCTAACACAGTCTTACAAACCATTCAGCAAGCAGCTTGCTAATTTATAGCAATAAAAAATTATGTCTTTTTGGAGAAGGAAATGGCAACCCACTCCAGTATTCTTGCCTGGAAAATTCCGTGGGCTAGAATCCGTGGGGTCGCAAAGAGTCAGACATGACTGAACGACTTCACTTTCATTTCTATGTCTTTTTAAAAAAAATATTCATTTATTTATTTATTTTTGGCTGTGCTGGGTCTTCATTGCTATGCACGGGCTTTGTGTAGTTGCAGAGAGTGGGGGCTAACTTCTGGCTGTGGTAAGTGGGCTTCTCATTTTGGTGGCCTCTCTTGTTTTGGAGCATGGGCTCTTGGACATGTGGGCGTTGGTAATTACTACAGGGGGACTCAGTAGCTGTAGCCCACAGGCTTAGTTGCCCCATGGCATGTGGGATCTTCCTGGACCAGGGATCGAACCAGTGCCCCTTTCATTGCAAGGCAGATTCTTAACCACTGGACCACTAAGGAAGCCCCCAAAGCTATGTCTATCATGAAGCTATTGACAGCATCATTGTAGTGTTTGTGTGGGGTGGAGTGAAATATTAAGAGAGAGAGAGAGGAGTTCCTTCTCCATACTGATATTTGATTTAGAGGAATAAACTTAAGGAGTCAAATGAAGGAAGAAGGAATCACCTTCCAGTATTCCAGGCAGTGCCATGCAGAAAAGGGAGTTGATATGTGAAGGAACTCCAGGGAGGGGAGGGGCCAAAGAATGAGAACTGTAGAGGAACAGATATTGACTCTCTCTCTGGGTGTCCCTTCTCCCAGAAGCTTCTCCCACAGATGACTGCAGGGCCTTAGGTCAAGGACAGCCAGGGACCATGATCTCAGCATCTTTCAACCAATGCTCCTGCAAGATGCCTGAGAAGCCACTGAGGAAACGGAAAGTCAACCTGTGTATTTAAAAGCTTTCAGTTCACTTATGGAACCAGCTCTGAACCAAAGAGGACAGTGGTAATTTATGAAATAACTTTGTCAGTCTTGACATGGCTTAATTTTTATTGGTGAGAATGATGCTTTGTTTATGGTATTGAAGATAGCTTATGGAGTCTAGCAGACCTGGATAGACCACTTAACTATGTGAAGTTGGGCAAATTTATTCACCTCTTTGAGCCTTCAAACTGTGGTGCTGGAGAAGACTCTTCAGAGTCCCTTGGACTACAAGGAGATCAAATCAGTTGATGCTAAAGAAAACCAACCCTGAATATTCATTGGAAGGACTGATAGTAAAGCTGAAGTTCTAATACTTTAGCCACCTGATGCGAAGAGCTGACTCACTGAAAAAGACCCTGATGCTGGGAAAGATTGAAGGCAACAGGAGAAGGGGGGGCAGCAGAGGATGAGGTGGTTAGACAGCATCATTGACTCAACAGGCATGAATTTGAGCAAAGTCTGGGGGATAGTGAAGGACAGGGAAGCCTGGTGTGCTGCAGTCCATGGAGTCACAAAGAGTTGGACACGACTGAGTCACATTCACTTTCAGCTTCTTTCAAGATTAGTCTGTTGACTTCCTAACCCCAGTACCTCAGAATATGACTTTATTTGGAGACAGGGTCCTTACAGAGAATATCAAGTTAAGGTGAGGTTCATTAGGGGGGCTTCTCATCTAGTTTGACTAGTGTCCTTATGCAAGAGGAAAATTTGGACACAGAGATATGTTCAGAAGGGAGACAATGTAAGGAGACACAGGGAGGAGATGGCCATCTACAAGCCACGGAGAGAGGCCTGGAACAGACCCTGCTTTCACACCTTCAGAAGGAACCAACCTGCCAACATGTTGACCTTGAACTTTCAGCTCCAGAACTGTGGACATTTAGCCTCCAGGTCTGTTCTACTTTGTTACAGCAGACCTAGTAAACTAAGGCATCACCTATACCAGCAGTCACTCTGGGGCACCTGCTGTTGCAGCAACCTGCCTGATTCCTGGGCTGAGAAGCCTGATTCTGGGACTGGGAATTGACTCACAGCCCAGGCAAGGAGTGTTTTGTGCGTTTGGTTAAAAACTGGTTCTCCTCTGGCCTCAACTTTTTCTTTGATGTGAAAGCTTCTGAGCATTGTAATTAGCGTCTCTCATTTGTACATATGGATTAGATGTGTCTCTTTGAGACGGTTGTAATTGTTCACAGAATGTTTAAGTGTATTCCTATATATTTTAAATGTTGTTGTATTTAGTGTACCTTGTGAATGTCAATAAGAAATAACATTTACCAAAAAAAGAACATCAAATTTCTGGTTTCGAGTTTCAAGTTGAGCAAAGCTGAAGAAAATGCCAAAATAATATGCAAATATTAATATGCCATATGTAAGCCTTCTTGGATTTTTTTATGAGCTGTCAACACAATTCAGTCTCCCTGTCACTATTCCCGGGTGGGGTTTTTTTTTGTTTGTTTTTTGTTTTTTGTTTTAATAGAATCTGCTCTCTATTTCTTTAAATGGAGAATATTCCCCAGTGGAATATTAACTCTTCACCCTCATTTCCTTTGTCTTTTGCAGGAAATTTTGACTGGGTGGGGAATGACTTCACCCAGAATGCTGGCACAGGCCTTGTTATCAACCAGGCAGACGTGAGGAACAACACAAGCATCATTAAGCAACTCAAGGATGTGTTTGAGAGGGACTGGTACTCGCCCTATGCCAGAACCTTGCATCTCTGAATGACATGTAATAACTAACAATATCTTAGCCTCGTGTACACTAAACTTAAGACTTTTGTATTTGTTACTTCTGACAGAGAATGTCATTTTGGCTTGGAGGTTAGTTTTTACGTTTGCATACAAATTTTAAGACTTTGATGCCTCTTCCTTTCTAGTTTTAGAACTTTTTCTGCTGACCACCTGGTCCGTTCTTAAGAAGCTTAGCATGAGGTAAGCTCTTTAACACCATTCTGAGAACTGCTGACGTAGAGGAGCATGAGGATTTTGTCCGGGAGAAGGGACTGATCAAGCCAAGTATTTGTCCTTGGAAACCATTTCCAAGACCTCTATGGTCATGTAAGCATGAACAGCTTACATCTCATGCTCATCTTCAACACACTTGAAAAATACCCTTTTTGCCTCCTTCTGCATTTTTTCCAAAACCATGGCTTTTATTTTCTATCATTTTCTCTTCTCACAAAATATTATATAGCAACCCTATATTCACCTAAACATTAGTTCCAAGTATGATTGTATCTTTTGAAAATGTATGACTTGTTCAGAATGAATGCAAAATGTAAAAAGCAGTCTTTAATTTTCACCTTTCAACTGCACTTTTCCCTACCAAATTGATATTTTAAAACCACAGCCAACAATGTATATCCTTTCTCTCAAGCTCAGAAAAATTATGTAGCCACCTGCTAATATCCAGCAAGCTATTCAGTCTGCATTATAAGAATAAAGTAGTTTTTCACATTTTTGTTTAGTTTATGGTGTTTAAAAGTAGATTTTAATTTCTTTATAATCCTTTGCTGTTAAGAGTATGCCAGCAAATATTTATAGAGCTATTTAATATATCTTCTGCTATTTAATATACCAAATGCTTTTCAGAGAAATGCAATTTAAATACTGTGCTTAACATATTTTACTAAGAAACAAAAATATTGGATTATTGTTCTATTATGTCCTTGTGTTGGTGTTTTATACCTATACAATGTGTGCGCTCAGTCGTGTCCAACTCTGTTCAACCCGATGGACTGTAGCCCATCAGGCTCCTCTGTCCATGGAATTTTCCAGGCAAGAATACTGGAGTGGGTTGCCATTTCCTACTGCAGGGGATTTTCCTGATCCAGGAATCGAACCCGTGTCTCTCGCATCTCCTGCATTGGCAGACAGATTCTTTACCACTGTGCCACCTGGGAAGCCCATAACTATATGATATATAACCCTATATTAATGGAGACTTGCACTAGAGATAGGCATGGCCTATTCAGAGCCCAGAGCAGGTGCCCTTCAGGACGTCTAGTCTTAATGTTGCTCCTGACCCTCCCTGGCCTGGGAACAGAGTCCTGCATTTCTTGGTCTTGGGTTTCTATTGATAATGTAGGGACATTAATAATCACCTACCTCGCAAAGATGTTGACACAGTAGAAAATGTTTTTAACTTGTTTTGAAATCAAAAGAACCTATATAAAATTCTCAGCATTATGAAGTATAATGTTTGCTGTATCCTGAAGTAATCAATAACAGGTTCTCCCAGAAAACCCACAAGAGAAAACAAATCACAGCTTCCAGTTACAAATATGGGTGAACACAGCAACGCAAAATCCCTGCTGGAGATCTGGATTGTCATCATTCTGGTGGAATGTTTTGTCAGATCACTTTGGCATAAATAACATCAACATTAAACTAGACTGTGTGCTTGGAATTCTTCTTTAGGACTAGCCTCTGCTTGTGCTTTTAGAGCAAGAAAAAGCAATCTCTCTTTTTTCTTTTATTTCTAGAGGCTTGATTCTAATAGGTCAGAAAGAGTGATGTAGGAACTCACAAATCTTGTCCAGTGGGTTTACTTGGTGGAAAATGTCCATTGTTGGTCATCTAGTGATCACATAACTTCCTTTCTTGTTGCCAAGTGTTGCTCTACTTGATATTTAACCAGGCTGTGAAGAGAGCTGGGAAAGAGATTTATTTTTAAGAATAACATGTTTTAATGAATAACTATGGGATTCTTTTTGTTATTATTTTTTTTTATTTTTGGTTGCACTGAGTCTTTGTTGCTTCATGTGACTTTTTCTCTAGTTGCAGCAAGCCGGGGCTACTCTTTGTTGTGGTGCACCAGCTTCTCATTGTGGAGCTTCTCTTGTTGTGAGCACAGCCTCTAGATGCAGAGGCTTCAGTAGTTTCAGCTTGTGAGCTCGAGAGTGTGGGCTCAGGAGCTGTAGCACATGGGCTTTAGGCTTTGCCTAAAGCATGTGGAATCTTCCTGGACCAGGGATTGAGCCTGTGTCCCCTGCATTGGCAGGAGGATTCTTATCCACTGTATCACCAGGGAAGTCCCTACTAGGGAATTCTTAATGAAATTCTGCACCAAAAATGGCCAGTCCTTAAAACTCAAAGTATTTACCTTGCATCCATATCCATATAAATAAGAATATGCCTATCCTTGTTTAAGTAGGGAGTTATCCAGTCAGTCATCTCAGTAAAGTAAAGGTAGTTTTAATGATGATTAAAAAGAGAACATGAAAGAAAGTAAGCAGAGTTGACATAGAGACAAACAAACATAACAATTGCACTCCTGGGTGAGGAAAATCAACCTGGGCTGACTTTGGAAAGGACATCTAGAGACTGAAAACCTGGCTGCTTACATGTTCATTCTCAAGTTGTTTCCTGGAGTATTTGTCACAGTCATGGGACAAGCATCAGTTCAGTCGCTGAGTCATGGCATGGACTGCAGCACGCCAGGCCTCCCAGTCCATCACCAACTCCCAGAGCCCACTCAAACTCACGTCCATTGCGTCGGTGATGCCATTCAACCATCTCATCCTCTGTCATCTGCTTCTCCCGTTTTCAATCTTTCCCAGCATCAGGGTCTTTTCCAATGAGTCAGTTCTTCACAGCAGGTGGCCAAAGTATTGGAGTTTCAGCTTCAGCATCAGTCCTTCCAATGAATATTCAGGAATGATTTCCTTTAGGATGGACTGGTTGGATCTCCTTGCAGTCCAAGGGACTCTCAAGAGTCTTCTCCAACACCACAGTTCAAAAGCATCAATTCTTTGGCACTCAGCTTTCTTTACAGTCCAACTCTCACATCCACACATGACTACTGGAAAAACCATAATCTTGACTAGACGGACCTTTGTTGGTAAAGTAATATCTCTGCTTTTTAATATGCTGTCTAGGTTGGTCATAACTTTTCTTCCAAGGAGCAAGTGTCTTTTGATTTCATGACTGCAGTCACCATCTGCAGTGATTTTGGAGCCCCCAAAATAGTATCTCACTGTTTCCATTGTTTCCCAGTCTATTGGCCATGAAATGATGGGACCAGATGCCATGATCTTAGTTTTCTGAATGTTGAGTTTTAAGCCAACTTTTTCACTCCCCTCTTTCACTTTCATCAAGAGGCTCTTTAGTTCTTCACTTTCTGCCATAAGGGGACAAGCATAGGTTTGGTGTAATGGCGCCCCCTCACTGTCACTGTCTTTTGCTTATGATAGGGAAAGTCATTTTTGTCCTTTCCCTCTGAGCCTCATCAAAAAGGTAGCTGCAGGAAATGTGTCCCAGGATTTTCTGCCATGCACCACCAGCAGCATAACCCTACCTGGCCAAGCAGACCTCCTCAAGGTAGTCCACGCAGCAGCAGCCAGACCACAGATTCTGGAAGGCAAAACTGACCCTCAGTGGCAGCCAGGTAAACAGCCCCTGTCCAGAGATTGTCATAAATGGGTTCATGTCTCCTGAGAGAAAATTTAACTCTGCAAAACTTTCTTGTTCACTTGAAAGCCTTGTGCACCCCTCTGTAAGTATTCTTCCTCTCTTGTAGACTTTGTGTCTGTGCTAAAACAACTTCCATTTACCCCCACCAAGAATTATTTCCCAAGAGGAAAAGAAGGCAAAACAAAAACTCTTTAATTCAAGACTATCTAATGGAGATCCATACCAGAAATTATGAGGAGTAGGGCGATTACTAACCTCCATTTTTTTCTCCATAAAGATTCCACGAATTATTTCCTAAGGTGCGATGAAGAAAAACAAACACAATTTGAGACTATATTTTAGGTTTCTGTGCTGCTAGCATTGACCTAATGCCTTATTGATTCTCAAGCATTGATTTTAAACAGTGACTCACTATATAAGAATGCTTCAATTTACTGTGGATCCAGTAGAACTTCTAATGGGTCTTCTTGTTGAAAACTTGCACATGAGTGTCAGTAGGTTCTATGCAGTCTGCTCTCCTCCCAAACCACACAAGTTTGATCACCTCCAAATCAAATCGTTGACACACATTGTCAAATATCAATACTGTGGACCTCCACTATACTACCACTAGTACATCTAATAATTAAATCACATTTTATCAAACCACTGGAGAGGAAGTGGAATATTCTAGGTTCTATCCATGTTCTGTAAATGCCACACTTTGAGTACCTGAATATGACAGAAGTAAGGCACACTAAAAATGTCCCTGCTGTCTCTAAAGGACTTTGTAAAGAGAAGCTTCATGGCTTCCAAAGTCTGTGGAACAGAATAAATCCAACATCTTTAAAAAGTCAAAGCAGACTCAGTAAAAGAAATGAAAGGACTGTGGGAAAGCTTCATATCTGTGTAGTTCTGGGTACCGCTTTTTTCATTTGGACTGTTTGTCTCATTTCTGATTGGATTCTTGGTGAGATGTGTCTGATCATCTTTTTGTTTGATCTTACCCCTTGAAAACTATGGTTTTTTACTGCACTTACTGGTTTGTTAAAAGTACCTCGCTGAACCTGGGACTGACAGAAGCTCATTTCCCACCAGTCTAAGGCTATTCTCAAGAGACTTTCATTTATTCTGAATTTTATTTGTTTCTAGAAGCTTTTATTGAGATAAATGCCAGGTCGAAAAACCATGAAAAGACTATAGAAATTTCTGGATAAGATCAGACCCAGAGCCATCTGTCTCAGGCATTCTATCCCAGAATCTGCCTTTTTTTTTTTTTTAATTTCATATATGTACCACTTACATGAGCTTCTCTGTCCACAAATCAT